ACTGTCCTAACTTCTGATTGGTCCATTTGTAGTATCATTTGCATGGAGCTCACTTCTGATTGGCCCATTTCTACAAAGCTTGTTCCTGGTTGGTCAACTTCTGTTGTACTTTATTTGCATATGATGTTGCAAAGTGTAAAACTGGCAGCCTACAAGAGGCCTGTGTAACGTCATAGCCGGGATGCAGACCTTGGAATGTTAATCGTTTTGAGCCGGATGGCATAATAAACTTGAGTTCTGCAGCTCTCCCAGTACTGGCTGGTCTCTCTGCCGGGTCCAGGGTGCTGTCACAACTGAGCTGTAATGTAACACCGAGCTGTAACATTTTTCTGCAACAGTGGTAGCCAATAGACATTGAGAAAACAAAGTAGGGAGACTTTGCGAAGCTGCAGGAGTCGTCCAGGGAGGCGGAAGGAGGCTGTTCTAGGCTGGCAGTGCTCGATGTGCGCAGAGGTGGGTGCGTTTTGAAAGTACACTTACTGATACGGGTTGCAGGAGAAATAAGGTTTTGGTCTTTGCAGGAAGAAAAGGCAGACGTGCCCTTCCTGGAGCTGGCGGGAGTGGGTCGTGAGAGGTGGTGAGCGAGCGCGCCGGGTGGGGGGGCTTGGCAATGCCTGCCGGGCGCCCAAGCGCAGGTATCAAGTTGGCCACTTGAAAACACGGGTGGCAAATGTCACCCATTAGTGCAAAAGGCTTTAAGAATGTCAGCTCCAGCCTTTGTAAGCAGAGTATCCCCCAGACGCGCTAACACCTCCGAGGTGACCGGGCCCCCCGTTGCCTGTGGGACGTAGGTGGCCGTCCCTCCAGGGCACGCCGCTGTGGTTACTGAAGTGCCGACCCCACGGGCCCGGTTCTGGTTCGTGCTGCGCGCGACGCAGCCTGGCGCTGCCAGCGCTCCTCCCGCCAGGAAGCCGGGATCAGCGCTTCCCGGAAGGAGAAGCGGAGACGAGCGGAGCCGCACAGCAGGCCTGGGGTCCGGAAGGGGAACGCGTCTCCACCAGACGCTGAGGAAACACTGTCCGGGGGCTGCAGCAGACGAAGGGTGTGCTGTCGCAGAGCTGGGGGCGGGGACAGCTCTGGAAAGCGGGGCGGGCTGGCGGGGCTCGGCTGTGAGGCTCCGAGTCAGGTGGGAAGTGGAAGGCGCTGTGGGCCTGAGTCGAGGGCGTCCTCGGTGACGTCCGCCAGGAACACTTCCGTGGCTTCTGTGGGTGTCGGCGTCCCAGCCGTGCGACCCAGGCCCCGAGGACTCCGCGGTGAGGGGGAGGGGCCCCCCAGGGCCGGGGACTCGGCGCTCAGGCGTCTCTAAGCCAGGCCGCGCG